GTCCTGCCCTCATCATCTTTAAAAGTGGCTAGTTCTTTATATGGCTTTGATATTTCGCACTGGTGGCAAATATCACGCTCTATCGTTAAGTCTCTTGTTGTCATAATAATTTATTTTTAGTTGCTGGTATCAGGTAAATTTTTAACATAGTTATTTCAGTCCTCATTCGCTTTAAAAAACTTATCACCAAATTTATTAATGTCGGCATGATAATGTCAAATCACTCCTGCGTAAAGGTAATAATATATATTTTTCTAAGACAATTTAATTACTTTTTAACCTTGAATGGAGGAGTATTAATTAATTTCTATCTTTTTCACTAATAAAAGAGCAACGATATTATCCTTTATTACTACTACTTTTCAAAAGTTCTCTTAAACTGCCAGCTCCAAAACTAACTTTTCCCGTTTCTTTCATGCGGGCTTTGCCTTTTTTTTGTTTGGCTCAGAGTTTCATTTTTCGATCTAAGGATCCTCCGCCATGGATTCTAGAGATAACATTTTTTTTCAAAGCAGATAAAGTTTCCCGGGCAATTACTTGATTACCGACACAGGCTTGAATTGGCACCGTAAAAGTTTGCTGATTAAGGGTTTTTTTTAGGTTTTCGCAAATTAATTTGGCTCGTCCGTGAGCAAAACTACGATGAACTAAAAAAGACAAATCTGGGATTAATTGATTGTTCAACAAAATGTCTATTTTGACAATATCACTGGGTTGAAAGCCGATTATTTGGTAATTAAAAGAGGCATAGCCATGAGAGATTGATTTTATTTTGTCGTGAAAATCGAGAATAAATTCAGCAAAAGGCAAGTGATAAGTCAATTGATAAAGTGAACCAGTTTTTCATTCTTGCGACTGAAAAATGCCCCGTTTATTTTGGCACAATTGGGAAATGTCTCCTAAGTGTTCCTGGGGTGTCGTAATTTCCAGATTAATAATTAACTCTTCAATACTTTTTATTTTGTCCTTGGTCGGTATCTTCTGGGGGTTGTTAGTTTCCAAAATCTCACCATTAGAAAAAATAACTCGGTAAGTAATGCTGGGTGGAGTGGTAATGATTTCGCAATTGAATTCCTTTTGTAGTCTTTCGCAAATGATTTCCCGATGCAATAAGCCCAAAAAGCCACAACGAAAGCCAGGACCAAGTAGTTGAGAGTCAATTGCCTCCAAACTTAAACTACTATCTTGGATTTGTAATTCCTCCAAGGATTTTTTAAACTCTTTATAATGAGAACTATCACTAGGATATAAGTTAGAGTAAACATTAGGATTTATTTCTAGATAACCTTCTAAGGGTGAAATGTGATTTTCTATTTCAAATACCGTATCACCAACTTTTACTTCTCGCATGTCCCGAACATTAGCGGTAAATCAACCAATTTCTCCTGCAATTAACTTGACTTTTAAGGTTTCTTTGGGGGTTTTTACTCCCACTCTTTCGACTTGATAAACTTTTTGTTGATTAGTATAGAACTTAATTTTTTGTCCTTTGGTCAATTCTCCTTCAAAAATACGGACATAAATAATAACCCCATAATAACGGTTATAAAGCAGGTCAAAAATTAAGGCTTTTAATGACTTATGATGTTCCGAACCGTTTGTTTTTTTCTCGATCATTTTCATATTTTTTTTAATCTATTTTTAACTCATCTCCACAGTAAATTTTATACTCATGAATAAAATTTTTAAATTTCTGAAAATTGTCATCACTATTAATTATCGGAAAATGCCAATTTCCCGTTAAAACATGGTTAAGACCTTTGTATTTTACTTCATATTTGTTTAATAAATTGGACAAATTGGTCGAAATTTCTGCGGGTTTTTTAAAGTTTCAATAAACGTTAATTTGGGTTAGATAAACAGCAATAGAACTTAATAAGGAAATTTTTTGAATTTGGTAATGAAGTCTATAACTAAAAACACGGTATTTCTTGCCGTTGACATAGTTTGCAAGTCTGGTTTTGGATTCTAGTTTAAGAACAGAATCATAGAGATTGTCAATATCATGTATCCATTTTTTTACTCATGGGCTAAATCTTTCTAAATTAATGATGTCGTCTTTTAAGGAAACAGAATCAGTTATTTTACTTCCCCCCCCTTTTTTGTTGGATATATTCCGTTTGTAAAATTTTCACTTTCGTCTTTTTTAACTATTTTTTTTGAAGAGATTTTTAACCATCCGACTACTCTTTCAATATCAATATATAAAATTTCATTGTCATAGAAAGTTATTTTTACTAGTCTAATTTTTTCATTTCGCATTTCGCTTTGCGGAAATCTTCCATAAATTTCGTTAACAATGCAAAGCCCTTTTGTTTCTTCTCAATTAACCTCCTCTTCCTTTCAATAATTATTCATTTTTTTTGTTAAGTAGTTGCTGTCTAAAAGTCTTAATAGTTCGTTCCGATTGCGAAAAAAGATCCGATTATCACTTTCTTCCAAACATTCCATATATTCACGAACTTGATAAAACAATTCGACTGTTTTTTCTCTTTTATACTCAATAATTAAAAAACTATTATTACTTCTATTAAACGCCAAGGTGTCGATTATGCAATCTCTTTCTTCTGCTGGATGCTTTAAATAACACTGTGATTTTAAAAAAACTAGGTTGGGGAAAAAATTTTTCAAATTTTTTACAAAAATATCTTCAATGTATTTCTCTTTTTTTCCTTGCTCTTTCAATTTTACTTCCTCCAATTTTTTTAAGGGATTTAATTGATAAAGGAGAAAATTTTGCTTCTCGCTACTCATATTTTAATTTTTGCTTATTTTAAGTTAATAGCCTGGCTCTTGATATGAATTAACCTTATCTAAGAACAAATGAAAAATTATTTTCTTTTTCCATTTTTCTTTCGGTAGTAGTAAGTTAGGGTAATAATTAGACTCAAAACAATTATTGTTATTCCAGTTGTCAGCACGGTGGTGAGGATTTTTTGTCGGCTGGTAGTAGAACTGTTTTTTTTTTTTTTTTCACCACCAGAAAGCCAATAGTTAATACTAAAACGACCAAAATTACTATCACTCCGCCAATTATTAGTCCTTTGTTTCCTTTTTCTGGTGTAGTAGAATCATTATTATGCTGATTCGGAGGTGAGGGATTATTGCTTGGCCGGTCGGGATTATGGTTGACCAGTTTTTCCTGCAAACTATCTACATCAAATTCTTTCGAACCGGAGAAAGTTAAAACACTATCGCTCTTATTATCAATATCACCTATGTTTCAAAACCTAACTTTCATGGTAAAAGTTTTGTCCACGCTCTCAGTTAACAATTTACTGTTATACAATTTAGTTTTCATTAATGAATCGGGGGTGCTTTCGAGGGACTGGCCATAGCCGAAAGAAAAAATAATTTTCGAAATTTCTGGCAATCCCTCAATCCCCAGGGAAAAAGGCTCAATTTCTAGTTCTTGTCGATAAGTCCCCGGAGCAGATTCTTTAATTTTCTTTTGGTTCAGCACCTTAAAAGTAATAATTTGGAAAGAACCAAGTTCCTTTTCAGTTATTTTTTTCACCCGGTTGGTATTTTTAACCAAAAAGGCATCTTGGATGGGGGAGCCTTTTTTTAGAAAAGAAGGGCAAAATTTCAAATCCGAAAAAGGAATGGTGAAAAAATCGCCACCGTCTGGGTTATTGATAATGCTATTAGCTAAAATTGAATTATCGTCGGGAACCAGTAAGTGAGGAAATGGATAGTTGACAGGAGCGAAACCACTTCTGATATAACTACAACATAAATGTTTGTGTCCTCCTATGAAATGAGTTTTGCCTACTACTGATTCATTAGTCTGAAAAGAAAAATTAAATTGATTATTCATAATAAATCATTTTTAGTGGGGAGGCGGAATATCACTAATAATTTTTTCCAGCAATAAATCAATATTTTTGCCCGTTTTGGCAGAAATTAAACAAATATCATTCTCTTGACAATTAAGGAGTTCAATAAGTTGGTTTTTGGTAGTATCTAATTGAGCGTGTGGTAAGTCAATTTTATTAATTACCGGCAGAATTTTCAAGTTAAGTTTTTTAGCAATTTCGTAATAAGCGAGAGTTTGAGCTTGAATACCTTTTACCGCATCCACCAATAATATTACTCCTTCGCAAGCGGCCAAGGAACGGGAAACCTCATACATAAAATCTACATGCCCGGGTGTATCAATTAAATTAAAAATGTAAGGTTCGGGACTTTCCGGCGGATAATATAATTGAACCGCATTTAGTTTAATGGTAATGCCTTTTTCTTGTTCTAAGGAAAGACTATCCAGCACCCTCTCTAACGACTTATTACTATTTTTTAAGTTGGTTTTTTCTAATAAACGGTCCGCTAAGGTTGATTTACCATGGTCGATATGAGCGATAATTGAGAAATTCCGGATTTTGGACGGATTAATTTTTTTTTGATTTTCATCCATTTGGGTCATGTAGAAATTTTAATAATGGTAGAGAGTAACAAGGTAAAAAAGATATATAAAATTTTCTTTATACAATGGAGGGAAAGGTAGATTTAAATAATTTATTATCGGTTTGAAAAAAATTCGCTACGCAGCATAATATTATTTGAAAAGATTCTTTTTTACAATGAGAATTGCCCGCCAATATCTCGGCCGACTTTGCTCTGATTTTGGCTTTGCCAATTTCTTATAAAACCAAAAACCCCCCCCAAGAAATCGCCCAAGAAATAATAAAAATATCTGCTTATTCCAACTTATCATGGGACACTACCAATCAAGGTTATATTAATTTTCGTTTTCCCTTAACTTTTTATCAACAATTTCTTAATGAGACATTAAAGAAAGAAGGGCAAAATCTCTATGGGGAAAGAAAAAATGTTCGGGTAAATATTGAGTATGTTTCGGCTAATCCGACTGGTTATTTGCATTTAGCACATTTTCGTCATGCTTTTATTGGTGATGCTTTGGCTAATGTTTATCAATTTTGTGGTTATGAAGTAGCAAGAGAATACTATGTTAATGATCGCGGGGGGCAAATCGCTTCTCTGGTTTATTCTATTTATCTCCTTTATTGTCAGCAGTGGGCGAAAAATGTTACTGATAAAATGGGAGGGACAAAAAGCGAGTATGTTTTGAGTAGAGCGAGCCAAGAAATAGCAAAAAAACTGGTGGAGGAATGGGGCGATAAATACCTTAATGAGGAACTAAAGGGAGAAGTTTTTGATGCTTGAAAAAAAGAAATTTTAAAATTAATGTTAACCAAAATTCGGCAAGACTTAGAAAGGTGCGGAATTAAATTTGATATTTGGTTTTCAGAAGCCAGTTTATATGAAGAAAACAAACACAGAGATTTAATTCAAAAGTTAGAAAAAAAAGAGTTAATTTTTAATCGAGAAGGAGCAATTTTTTTCCGGAGCAGTTTAAGTGGGGATGACAAAGACCGCGTAATCATTAAGCAAGATAACGATTATACTTATTTTTTTTCGGACATTCTTTATCATCAAGAAAAAGCCAAAAGAGCCGATAAGTTGATTAATGTTTGAGGAGCTGACCACCATGGAACTATTGCGAGATTGAAAAGTGCCTGGCAATTGTTGGGATATGAGCCAGAAAGATTACAAACAATTTTGGTCCAAATGGTTAGTTTGCTTACCAAAGAAGGCCAAACTGCAAGGTTTTCCAAAAGAGCGGGGAATACTATTGAATTAGACGAAGCCTTGCAATACATGGATATGGATCAATTAAAGTTTTTTTTACTGGAAAAAGAACCTAATCAGCCCCTTTCTATTAATACCGAATTACTAAGAGAAAATAAAGAAAAAACTCGCCTTTATTATATCCAGTATGCCCATGCTCGCTGCCACCAAATATTTCAGAAAGCCCAAGAGAAAGGTATAGACAAAATTAGTTCAAACATTGATTTACTAAAAGAACAAAAAGAGAGAGGAATATTTAACTTGTTGATTCGTTTTCCTTTGGTTTTGGAAAGCATTATCGAAGAAAATAAACCCCACCATTTAATTAATTATTTATATGAGTTATCCCGGGTTTGACAAGTCTACTACCAAAACAGCGTTATTTTAGAGCCAGAAAATCCTAAATTAACCAGCCAAAAACTCTTACTAGTGAAAAATATCCAAATAGTTTTGAAATTAGGGCTTGGACTGATAGGAATAGAAGCACCCGAAAGAATGTAAATTAAAAAAGTTGGGAGAATAATCCTCTTCCCCACTCCAATAAGTGTTTTGATTGAAAATATTGGTTCGACGAAGCACTTATTACAACCTATTCCTTTAAAATTAAATTAAACAATATAATTTATAATATAAATATGTTTAGAGGATTTGGCGAAAAAAAAAAAAAAAAAACAGTAACAGCAGTCGAAAAAGAACGAATAAGTAATCATTTGGCTGATGAGTTAGCCACGGTTAAGAAAAATTGAAATATTGACATTGACTGGGCGGAAATAACTGAAACTTCATCGACCGGGGAAAAGTTTGCTTATCCAGCAACTTTGGCGGAGGAACTCGACGAAGAAAAATTATACCGATTTTTAAATTGAGCCAAAGACATTATTTTCAAGCAGGTTCACCGGCAAGTATTAAGCAAATGAGAAGAGGAGAAAAAGGAAAGCAACGATTTAATTCAGTGATATGAGGATTTAGGGAGTTCAAACAACCTAGAAACATTATTCTTACAAGAAAAAGCCTTTGCGGAACGATGTATAAGAAAGTGAGGAGTCAGTAAAGCCCGAGAAAAAAAATGAGGATTACCCTACTTTGATCGACCCACCCAACCGCTTAAAATGGATGGGGGAACCGTGGATCTTTTTGATTATGCGGACTTGTTACACGAAGAAATTCATACCGGCACCCCCCATTTACTTCGTGGTTCTGCAATCATTACCATTAATGAGGAATTAAAAAAGTGGTTAACGAAGGAGGCAGAAAAAACATCCCCCCATCCGCAAGCAGGTTGATTTATTGAGGTTCAAGAAACTTTACAAATTGCTAGTGATTATACGAAAGTGTTTTTTGAGTTATTAAGTAATTCCCCTTTTAAAGAAAATATTGATGTGGAAAGATTATGAAAGGAAAGTTTTCACGAGCCGAGCCAATTAAATCTTCACTACACTCGGCTCGTTGCCGAAGAAGAAATTTTTAAGGAAGTCGTCCACCGGGGCTTAGATAAAAACCTTTTTTTAAAGGTCTTAGAAGAAAATGAGATAGTCGCTAACAAAATTAGTTCCGCCAAGAATAAATCCGAGATTGCCGCCCAAAAAGAATGATATTTTGATTTAATTGCCGAAATCGAGGAAACGAAACGGTTATCTACCGAGTTGGAAAAAATCAATCAGCAGTTAATTAGTTGGGAGAAAGAGGAAAAAGAGTTAGTAGAAAGCGAGTTAAATTCCGAGGAAGTAAAATTAACGACACGCCAAGGAGAAATTGAAACTTTTCAGAAAGAGGGATTTTTAGTTAATCATTGGAAAGAATTAGCCGATATCTCGTCCGGAGTTAAAAATAACTTGGGATTGCTATGGGATAAATATAATCGCCAACGATTAAGAAAAGAGAAGGGGCGGGCGGCGGCGAAGGAAGAAGAGGATACCATTACCCGTTTGGAAAATGAATTAAAGAGCAAGGATGAGGAAATAACTCGATTGAAAACCGAACTAACCAGGAGTTTTATCCCCCACCGAGCCGCCCCCTTGCCACCGGTGGCGGAGAGTTCGGAGGAAGCACCTAAACCAAGTTCGGTTTGAACCGAGCGACGGTCAAAAAAAATAACTGAGTTAATGGATAAATTAGCCGAAAAAGACGAAACGAGTAAATTTTTGAAAAAAACAGTTGAGGAACTCCAATTAAAAGTCTACAACTACCAACAAATAAATAACACTCTACAAATCGCCAACAGGGAATTGAGGGAAGTCGAGGAAAGTCTAGCCGAACAAGTAATTAGTTTAGAAGCAGAAAAAGAGCGATTATTAAAATCCTCGCTTCATTTACGACGTCTTTCTTCTTCTTCTTCTTCTTCTTCTTCTTCTTCTTCGTTCCATCGTGAATATCGTGGATTTGCCCATGCATTTCCCCACGAATTTGAAATGTTTAAAGGGACGAGGGGCAAAAATCCATTGGATGAAGAATTGGGGGGTTATTTTCCCCCTGTGTGGGCTGGTGCTACCCAACCGGTTAAGCAAGATTTTAAGTATTCCTATTCCGCCAGTAATGTAGTGGCTAATCGCAATTCAGTCACCGCTAGGGGGGGAAGCAAAACCCCGGTCCCTATCTCCATTCTTTCGGATATTTTTTTTTCCACTCCTGCTCCGCTGACTACTACGGGAAGTATAGCAGACGAAAATGATGTTTATGCGGAAACTTTTGCCTCGGCTAGTTCAGAGAAGAAAGTTAGCAAAAAGAGTTCCGCCGCTTCTTTGAATATGCCCCCCATCGTTGAGTCAGACGAGTCCGAGCCAAAACACCCGGCAACCCAAACTGAGTCTGACCCCACCGTCGCTGGCCTAGAAAATAAAATCACTGACCTAAACAAAGATTTGGATGAAACTTTGAAAGAGGTGGAAAAATTTAGGAAAGAAAACGAAGAGTTGCGGGCGGAAAATACGAGATTAAAAGGAAAAGGCTCAGTCTTTGCCACGGGAGGAATTTCCGACTCTATTTTCAGTTTAACCAAAGAAACCTTAGCCAAAACCACCCGCCACTACTCTTC